TTCTTCTTCTCCTTCTGGTACCCCTATTGTGCAAACATTGTTTTATTTGGATTGGTCACATAGTTCTCTTATCATTCTTTCTTTCCTAGAGATCCTTTTTTCTCTCTATTCCTCAGCTTCTTCGTGTTCCTGTTCACTAATTCTTATTTCATTTACCATCAGCTCTACATAACCTAATCTACTTTTAAGTTCCTCCATTGTATGTTTCAGTTCAGATACTGTACTGTTCATCTCTGAGTGGCTGTTTTTCAGGTTTTCTATCTCTTTGTTGAAGTCCCCCCTGAGATCTTGAACACTTTTATCTTTATCTGTGAGCTTGTTTATGACTTTTATTTTGAAATCTTTATCAAGAAGATTGGTGATCCGTGCTTCATTTTGCCCTCTTTCTGTGGTTCTGTTGTAGTTTTGATTAGATCAAATTCCTCTGCCCGCTCAGTTTGTCAGGGATTCTGTGTTTCTTCCTTTGTATTAGATGTCTCAGCTATGCTTTCTGGTCTAAAGAGTAGTAGCTTTATTGAGAAGGTGCGCTATGGTGCCCAGAAGCAAAAGATTCTTTACTCTGTAGTGCCTGGCTCTATCTTGCAGGGGTCCCAGTTGTTGGTGTGCTATAGGTATGGTCCCTTCCTTTGTGATCAGCTCAGGAACCCCTGTTGAGCTCAGTGGGTGGGACTGCACTCTGCCTGGCCTGCAGCAAAGGTGGAGCTGCAGGGTTAATGGGATGGGTGGACCAATGTGCTGCACAGCACTGGGTTTGGACACCTGCAGGGAGGAAGGAGCTCTTGGGGCTTGCTCCTCCAGGCACCTCTATGGTTGGGCTGAAATGGAGCCAAGCAAGCTGGGAGAGCCTCCCTCTGCCTGCCAGGCAGCAAAGTCTGATGCTGCTGCTGGGCCAAGTGAGTTGGTTCCCAGCAGCACACAGGGAGGTGCCTCAGGGACGCATTGCCAGCAAGGGGGATGGAGTGTCTGGAGCTCCCAAGGGTTCCTGATTTCTTGGGCTGAGGAAGGGCTGGGGAGGTGTCTTCCACCTGCCCTTTCTCCTGAGGAGAGAGTTCCAGCCAACCCTCATCACCTCTCATGTCTCTCCCACTGCTGGAAAGTCTTTCAAACTGCCACCTGTGCTTTAGGTCTCAGGACTTGAGTGTGCCTGGCCTCCACACTGGCTGGAGCTTCAGCCTCCCAGATTATTCCACCTGCCCCTGTTGTCTGGCCCCAATTATCACCAGAACACAAAGTAATGTGGGCTTATGATGCCAGAGCAGATCTCCTGGGCCAGGTGTTCAGCACTCCTGGGCTCCTATACCCTCTGTGCTCCATTCCTCTTTCTCCTGCCTGTAGGCTGCTATTGAGGGAGGACTTGGGTCCCACTCGATCTTGGCTTTGCCACCTCACCCTTTTCTGTGTGGTCTTCTATTCTTCCTCAGATGTAGGGGATCTTTTCTGCAGTGTTCACGTCGTTTCCAGGTATAGTTGTATTTGCTGTGTTTTCCTCTTTTATGTGTTTTTGGTAGGAGGATTTCATCTTGCCTTCCTATTATACCATCTTTAATCTGATCCTGGGTGCTTATTATTTTAAGTGCTTTATTTTCTTGAATTATAGTTGATATACAATCTTATAGTGGTTTCAAGTACACAACACAGTGATTCAACAGTTACACACATTATTACATTTTCATGCCCACTAGTATGGTTACTATCTGTCAACATAGGAAGATGTTACAGAACCACTGACTATGTTCTCCATGCTGTGCTATATCCCCATGAGAAATTTATTAATCAAAATTAACAGCAGTTGACTCAGACACTGGGAAGTGACTGGTTGTTATGTGGGATGTGAAGATGTGGTGGGTGAGGGAATGAAGAGGTACAAAAATCTCAATCAGAATATAGGCAGTTATTTCTTTAGTGTCTCTCTCCACTATAGAGTGTGGGGTCCCTAAGGGCAAGGATTTTCACTTTTTTACACTTAGTCCTTGGTACACAGCAGGCATACTGCCACCTCATATCAATGGGGGAGAGTTGCCTACATCCTCCACTGTGAAGAATATACTGCCACTTCCCCCCTTATCCTGAAGCCAGGACGGCCAGAAGAGTAGGTTACTCCCCTGGCCACCAAAATGTAGATCCCAACTGGTTACCCAAATGGCACCATCAGGTTTTGCCATCTGGGATCAATGGAGGCTTGAGTGCTGAGTTACAGGTGCATTATATGCTTTCCTTACTACACACTCAAGACTATGACTGTGAAATGTGAATCCAGTGCCCAAACCATTCCAGAACAAAACTCCCTCCCCTACCCCAAGTAGTTCTCTAGGCCAGTGAAAGTCAGGACAGGCTTCCCAGAGGAGGTGATTCTTGGCTAACAATATAACAGGACGGTGACTCAGACTGATGGTGCTCCGTGCCTCCCTGAGGCCCTGACAGCCTGTCCACCTACCCTGATAGCTGAGACTAATGCTTCCCTGAATGTTCTTGGAGATTCAACTTTGACTGATGGCTGAGGAGATAGAAAAAGCAAATAAGCTCTTCTCTCTGGATGAGGGTGCTATGTTTCTCCTACCTGTGTAAATAGCGTAAGGCTGTACCATAATTACCTGTTAATCTGAGTGATGTCTGGTCACAGTCACATTTGTACCCCTAGCATTTAGGGAATGTTGAAAGCACATGATGAGTCATTAATACAGGGATGAGTAGATGAGAGGCACAGGGTGTGAGGGCATCTCCAGATGACTCTAAGTGCTCGAGTCCCAAGTTGGCTGCTCCCTTCATGGAAGGGAAGGGCTCAGAGACTGTGCCTTCTTTTGTTTCCCCTGGTAGAGCCAGGCCTTTGCCCTGGTTAGGACACCGTGCTGGCTACTAGACTCCCAGCAATGACCTAGCCTAGTGCTGTGGGGATAGATTCCAACCAGCTGGACGAGGGCCCAAGGTAAACATGCAGGCGGATGGTCACATTAAGTTTAGTTATGAAATCATCAGAGTCCACTATGCATTTTGAGAAAGATGAAACCATATTAGTTCCCACAGGGGTTTTGCTTTCAAGAAGAATAAGAGAGGCTTTGTGGTCAGGTGAGAGAATTAAGTTGTCAGTCGTTCTCAGGTGACACTAATCTTTCCTTGACTGGGTGAAGTTCATGCGCCCCTCTGGCTGGGAACACAGGGAGGGAGATCCCAGGGGACAAGCCCCTCAGTATGGTCGTGACTTGGGTTCCCTGTGCTCCTGCTGGGGGAGGTGGAGCCTCTGTCCTGGACACCCATGGAGGGGAGTCTCCATGGCGACAGGACAGAGCTTTACCTGGGTGGGAGGCTGGGCCTTGGGTCTCACTGTTTCCCCAGTGACCCTCATCAGGGAAGGGCAAACATTGAAAACGGTGTTTCAGAGCCACTGACTTTTCAACCTGTGTTCATGTTAGCTTATTTATGGTATGCTGTGTGTGTGACCAATGGCTCTTGGGAAACCACTTGCAGCCACTGAGCCTCAGTTCCTACTTCTGTAAAATGAGGACCATAACATCGCCCTATTAAACTGTACCCCATGAGGGCACCAGAAAGGGCAGATTTATTGGGTTTCCTGGGATTTTCTTTCCTACTTTTTCTGGGTCATCTTCCAGATTCCCAGTCTGTCCTTTGCTAGTGTTCAAGCTTGTGACCATTTCCTTCCTGAATCACCTCTTTGTGGACCATTGTCACACTCCAGAGCTATGTAGCCACATAAACATGGGTTTCCCAGGCCAGGCAGAGGGGCACTGGTCAGAGTGAGCAACGAGCTGGGGTGACTCCCTGATTCTAAGCCCTCAGAGCTTCTCCTGCAGGCATGTGGCAGGGCTCACACAAGGCTCTGATTGCTCCTTACCCTTACCAGCCCCTCACTGCCTGTTAAAAACCCTTTTCACCAAAAAGCAGGAAGCCATCTGCTCCAACCCCTTTGCCCCAAAGAAAAAGCTCATATCACCTCTTTGGAGTCCTGTGTGTCTGTGTGTGATGTGACAGTTGCCATGTCATTAGTGGCTAAGACAGGGGTCCACTTGGCAATCTGAGCCTACTTCTCCTCTTTCTCCATAACACTGACTGCTTTTGGACATTGATCTTTCCAGACAAGGCAGCCAGTCTTTGGTGTAGAATCTGTCAGATGGCTGTCCACTGCAGGACCCTCTGCAGGGCTGGATGGGAAGCAACACAAATTGATATTGCCTGGTGCAGCCATCACCATCCCATCCCTGTCCTGCCTCCTCTTCAGGAGCCTTCTTACCTACGGGATCCTGACCCTCAGCCTTAAGGTGCAGAGATGGTGGCACATGCACAACCAGGCCCTCTTGTTGTGTACTAATACCCAGAAAGATGGTGTGGTCACCCAAAGCCACAGGAACAGGACAAATGGGGGCCCAGCAAACTCCCCTCCACCAACAAGCATGGAATGCTCTGCTAGGGACTAGGGTCATAGTGGTGACTGACACCTAGATGGGCCCTTGAGAAGTGCTCAATCTGCTAAGAGCTCTAGGTGCAGAGACCAGCAATGGAGCTGCAGGGCAGAGAAGACAATAATAGAATTGGTGGGGGGAGAGGTTGCCCCAAGGAGGATATGGTTTATCTGTTTGAGGAGGTTGGTGGTGAAAGACTATTACAGAAAGGGCTCTGTCTGAGCTGGGTATTGAAAGAGGAGTAGGATTCTTCCAGGGGACCCAGGCACATTTCTAGGAACAGGAAACTGCATGGGTAAAGATGGATTAACCAGGCTTGTTTGAAGGAGTTCAAGTAGTTTAGATTTTGGGCAGCCATGGCAACAAGGGCAGACTGGAGATTTAAGGCCCTTTGATTGAATATCTGTAACCTTTAAACTACTTGATAACACTAGTTTATTGGTTTCCTATAAATATTAACTCCAAGTGTGTTCATCTGGGTGTATCCATGATGTTCCGTCTACTATCAAGGCCAAGAGGGCACCTGCAGGTGGAGCACATGGTCCCTTCTACTGGCTGCAGCCCAGACCCACCCCATCTCCCAGCACATAAATATGCCAGCCTCACAGAATCCTGCTGGGTGGGAAGGAAAGATCTGCACATACAGACCAGCAAAGAGTAGCTCATCCTGTGGAAGGAAACCCAGAGGAGAGACTCTCAGTAGGACAGCGGCCATGGACCTGATCCCAAGCTTTTCCACAGAAACCTGGGTCCTCCTGGCTACCAGCCTGGTGCTCTTCTACCTGTGAGTAACTGTCCAGCTCACCTCCTCTGTAACCTTGGACTAGGGTGCCATTCAGGCCCTCCTTTCCCTTATGTGTTTTGAAGATCTAAAAAGAGTTGGTGAAAGGGAAGATGCTTGCACCTTGGTTTCTACAAACCCATATTATTGATCTGCTCATGGAGTAGTCCACACCCTCACCTCCCAATTTCTGAGGCTAGGAGGGCTTGGGGACATTAATGCTCCTGGGGATGATCTCATGCGCTACCAGGGTGGGCCTAGACTAATGCACCAGATTGCAGCAGAGACAGGTATAAACAACTGGCCGCTGAGTAGCAGGCTCCTCACCCACTTCCCAGGGTCTGGGGATCCTGGGAGCAGGAGGATGAGGCTTGATTTAGTCCCCTGACGTTGGCCCTCTGGGTTCTGTGTCAGCTGCAGGAGACGTGTAGAGGGGGTGGCCCCTGTGTCACTCGGGTGGCCTCTGCTCCCCTCCAGCCATCACTCACACAGGACACCTGGTGCAGCCAGCGTTTGGGGGGGCTGGGGACTGCTCCACCTTCTCTTTAGACTGGCTCATCCCTCAAGCCACTCCTGATACTTGGTTCCCCCTCCCTGTAATGTGCCCCTGTCAGAGCTCCTAGAGTACAGTAGAAATCTTGAACTTGTTTCCCTTTTGTTTTCCTTTTCCTTCCTGTCTCTTAGAGGGTTAGCATCAGTATAGGGTTTCCACTTTCCAAGCATGAAATTTGCTAGCAACCTGCAAAGGCATAAGCCCAAAAGGCATATTGGATTTTACATGTTTTCCCCTTAGTTACAGTACAGAAGCATGAATGAAAACCATCTAGCAGAGGAATTCCTCTCAAAGGTGGGTGAGGCTCTGGGAGGAGGGAGTCCCCTGCCTGGGGCAAGTCCTTTATGAATTTCAATTAGATCGAAGGAAGACAAGAGCAAAATGTGGGGGATGAAAGGGTTTACTCTCAAACTCAGCTTCTCCTCACTCGGAACCCCAGCTGCTCAGGTCTCTCTCTCCCAGCTTGTGCTCAGCCATGCTACTGTGCTGGGCACAACTCTGCGACTGGGTCTCCAGTGACTGGCAGGTGCCTGACCAATTTCATACCAGGAATGGAGGGGAGGAAAGAATGGGTGCTTCCTTTCCACCCCTAGCCTGGACCAGAAATTTCGTGACTGACCAGCAGCCCTGACACTGGTAAATATCCCATAAATGTACAAACAACTCTATTAAGGTCAAGTGGGAATCCTGGTCAAACATTCCATTGTCCCCACAATCCACTCCTCCAGGATTCTCACCTCACAATTTATGTGCCTCCAACTTCCACAATGGCCCAGTGCAAAGACAGCTATGGCACTGTAAACAGATTAACCATGTACAAATAAGAGCAGAAATTATGATACAGATAACAATAAAACCATGACAATCCTCAAGCCTGCGGAGCCAGCTGCATTCAAAGTCCTGCTCAGGCTGAGTCCGTAACTCACATGTCCACGGAAGGCCAGCAGCTGAACCGGCAGGGGTCTCCAGGCATGCGCAGCAGGCAGCAGCTGTTGCTGGAGGGCATGCCCAATCCACTAAGACTGAAGAAGAGAATTACTGTAAGGGTGATAAGATACATGTTTTAATGGCATCAACAGAGACAAATCTTGTCCATCAGGTAGGATGCATGTAAAAGGGTGGTCCTGTGATAAGACAGTGGCAGGAATGGGATCCCATCCTGCTTTAGCATACCAGACCTTCACCCATCTCCTGTGGGAGTTACTCATGGGTTGATATGAAGGGCTACGGGAGCCACATGCACTGGCCACAGTGATAAGAAAAAACTCCCTGGTAAGATACTCTTACCATTTTGGGTACACTACCAGAATTTGGGAGGACCACTCTGTGGTTATTCCAGGAACACACAGGAGGCCAGCTTCCAAGTCTTCTCCCCAAGGTGTCAGACTGGCCAGCCATCACTGGTCCATGTGTCAAAATGTCCAGGGCCATGTAGTGTCCAGGTGGATGTGAGATGCAGTCACAATGCACATCTGCTAAGGCTCTGCTGACTTCTCTAAAAGTCAGGGGCAGGTCTCCCAGTGGGCTACAGCCTACATTGTCTTCTGTCGTGGACCAAGTTGTCTGCTTTACCATTCCCTGGGGATGTTGAAGGCAAATGGCCTGCGAGCCACTGCCAGAGGCCCCAGCCATAGCCATCTTCAGTCACATGGACATGCAGCTCAAAGGGTCTTGATGGGTCTTCCTCACACAAGACCGTCACAGCCTTGACTGCCTGTCCTGCAGTGGCAGAGGTAAATGCTCACGTTTCATCCCAGCCGCCCTGATGCCTTTTCATACCAAAGGGCAAAAGGGCCTCAGAGTTCGTGCCAAGTGTGGGGTAAACACTCTCCAGTAGCTTACAGGACAAAAGCCTCTTGCAATGCCACAGTTATCTGTAAGAGAATCACAAGGGAGCATAACATCATACATAATATTAGATCCCCAGTTTCCAAGGGCATTTGAGCTTGTTGCACTAGGACAGCCCCACCCCTGCCACCATTCACATCAGTGGGGGTCCCAAGAAACCACTCGGAGTCACAGTATATCAGAGATTATTCAGCTCCTGTGTCTACCAGAGCCAGGACACACAACAAATTCAATGGGGACTAATAATTTACTAAATTACTCAACAAGTGGCTGAAGCCAGTCCCCGAAGACAAGTGCCTTGATCCTCCCCTCCTCGGTCAGAACAAAACACCCAATCATCATCCAGCAGGGTCAGGACAAGGTCTGCACACCCTACCCTAGGAAGCCTGCAGATACACAGGCCAGACGTGTGGCTTTGCCTCCGACTTCCATTTTTGGACCTCAGGGGATGGAACTGCTGCTCTGGCTTAAACTGTCACCACAGCTCTAGTAATATCTGATTGGGTTGTCCATCTAGTTTCTCTTTCACTACCCCTGCCTTTATCAAATCAACCCACACCTGGGTCCTCCAGACCTTCAAGGGCCCTTTAAATGCTTTCTTCAGTAGCAGACTGTATCTCCTTCCTGCTCTCATCGGCTCTGCCTCTCCCAGACCTGCTAAAGTACAAGCAACTTCACTTGAGGGTTGCCCTAAGTGAGGGGAGGAATAGCCACTATGGACCCAAAGACGGATTGGGAGAGCTGTGTGGAGCCCCAGATTTCCTATTCCCACTGTGAACAACTCCTCATCTAGACCCTGATGGTCCATATTGTAAATATTTTTCATGTCCAACTCCCATTAACACCTGTTGAAGCTGCACATACGTCTGCCATCTAGTGGGAGAAGATGGTAAATCACCCCGATTAGGCCACGCAGTCCTGAGCACTGCTGTCAGCCAATCCACACTGTGTGGGGTGTGTTTGGCAGTGGGGCTGTCACTAGGTACAGTCACCACCAGGCAGCAAACACAAGAGCCTTAGAAGATGCCAGTGCAGCCAAGAGCCAGTAGCTGTAGGCAGTGCCCTCCAAGGGAAACACAGGAAAGATGACGGACTTTACAGTCTACAGAATTTTAAGAACACTATGACGTGAAGTCCTCAGCTGCCGTAGGCTAATAACCACTAAATCGGTGGGGGTCCCCAAGGAACCAGGAAAGCAGATGATGAGCAAACGTCATCATTGCCCTTGGATTGGCTGCTGGTGTTTCTGGCCCACACACTTCAGCCCAAGCTTCCCGGCTCCCATTCCGAGTCAGTGCCCGGCAGTCCCGGCAGCTGCTCCACAGTCCCTGTGACCTGCCTTCTCATTCACTTCATAGATATGGGACCTACTCGCATGGACTTTTTAAGAAGCTGGGAATTCCTGGGCCGACACCTCTGCCTCTTTTTGGAACTGTCCTGTCTTACCGCAAAGTGAGTGTTGAGTTCCCACTTTGCTTCTTGTGGTCGCAAATCCCAGCTTAGCTCACCAATAAAACTGCCCGTCCCCAGGAGGAAGTTCTGAGGTAACACTTTCCTGAAACGCGGTGTGTACAGACACCCAGCATTGCCAGGTGCTGCCCAGCACATGCCTTGATGTCCCACCTTGTGAGCATCGTAACGACATTTTTGTTTCTGCTCTGTGCAGATTCCCTGGATGGCACGTTTGTACAGAGCATTCGGAGAAAACCACAACAGGGTGCCTCGTAGCAGTTCACTAAGTGTGTGAGCTGGAGTCAGACTGTGCAGTGCATAGCATGAACTCTAGGCAGTGTTTCTCCTCCCCTCCTGGATAGCTGTGCACCTGCTGTTTGTTGGTCAGCCCGAGGATCCATCCTGGGGTCATTTGTGCATGCCGGAGTTCTCGCAGAACTGCTGAGCCTGCGCTTGTGTCCACGGCAGTGCTCCACTCTTTGCTCCCCAGGGCATCTTTGGGATTTGAGAGATGGACAGGAGCTTTCCGCCTCCTTCTGGGCCTTCAAAGGAGGCAGCGTGTGTGTGTGGGATGAGTGGCCAGTGGGGGTAACTGAGACAGGATGGTGGTTGTCCAAACTCAGATATTTGGTCTCTGAATGAGCTGTTACAAAGACAGAATCATTAGATAAAGTCACTAGAAAGTGTATGATTTGATGAAATTGTTCAAGTTTCACTGAGCAGAATGGTGATGCATGAACTGTGAATCTTGGTGGAGCCTTTGTGGCTAATCCTGCTCTGACCCCTCACCCTGGGTCCGGGCTCTGGACAGAAGGGACCAGCTCACGTCCAGGAGGCCAGGAGGCAGTGCCTTGCAAGCAGGCTGCCCTCTGCCTCAGATTTCCTTTCCTGCAGACACAGGCTTGTCTCTCAGATCCTAATTCTCCCAACTAGGCCTAGTATCCCAGAAACGTGCTGTATTTTTTCCTAGTCACACATTTTTCCCTGTGAGAAAGCAGTAAGTTCCTTTCCACTTTTCCCAGATCCACTCCTTAGTAGAGGCACCTGAATATCCACATTTCTGTCACCATCTTTGTATAGTTAAAACCTCAAATACCACAGCTGAAACTTAGTGAGAGGAAGAGGCATTTTTTAATTCCAGAAGTGAAAACTGAGAGAGCCAGCGTGGTGCTTTCCTTATTCCCGCCTGCAGTGGAAGCACCTTCCCACCTTCTCAGGGTTGAGCTGGAAACTAGAAAGCGAGTTCTCTGGTCATTCATTCATTCACTCACTCACTTTCTACTCAGTAAGCATGCCTGAGTCTTATTTGAATCCTCTAGAGGAAAGGAGGTCCCTGATGTCTTCAAGTTCCTAATTCCACTAGAATTCTAGAGAGGCTCGTGAGACAAAGGAAGGCTGCTGAGGAGTACTCAGGTGTGGACATGAACGTTCCTGTAGCCAGGACTCTCACCTGACCCTGGATGGCTAGCTCACTACACACGTGGGCAATATGTTGCTGTTGACTCTATATAAAGAGCTCTGCCCAGTGATCTGGGCGACACGATGGCACAGCTGCAAGGCTGTGGGAGAGCAGAGCAGAGGCTGGAGTGGTGGCAGAGCTGAGGACAGAGCCTGGGACGGCTGTGCAGGCCGAGAGGCCCAGAGGCAGAGACTGGCTTGCTGTGTGCAGACTCGCTCTGAGTGGATGGGATTTTTGTAATTGACCTGCCACTGTGGAAATAAATTTGGGTATAACCCTTTCACCCCAATAACATTCTACTGTCATTTCTTCGGTCACACTGAATCCATAGTGAACTTGCCCGGGGCTGCAACCCATTGACAAGATATCAGGCCACTCTGCCTCCCCCAGCTCGGTGTACTCAGGTGTCCATGGAGGTGATAACTCAGAATTTGGAGATGTTAGAGACAACACATGCACAGACAGGTCAGAAAGACAAGCTCTTACCTGGTATTCACAGACACGGTAAGTGATCAGTACCCACCATCCTGGGAGAAAACTCAGGAGTGATTTTAAATTCTCCTTCTCAAGTCTCTCCCCTATTTCCTCCCCTTTGCCCTCAGACAGGGGAGGAGAAATGCTGCCTAGAGCTCAAGCTACGCACTGGACAGGCTGACTCCAGCTCACATGCTTAGTGAACTGCTACGAGGCACCCTGTTGTGGTTTTCTCTGAATGCTCTGTACAAACATGCCATACAGGGCTTCCCTCTAACTGCCAGTGAAAGGTAGTTTGCTTGATTTCATGCCATTTGAGTCATTTATGAACCGATTTGAGGTAGGGTTCAGTCCATTCACATAAACAATATAATCTCATTTCTCCTTGCAGGGCTTTTGGGATTTTGACAACAAATGTTTTAAAACCTATGGAAAGATGTGGGGGTGAGTATTCTGGAAACTTCCACCGCATAGACTTGCTATGCCGAGGCCCCCATTGGTGTGGAGGCCAGTCTCAGTGCAGAGCCTCTTGAGATGAGGTCATTTGCCAGAAAGCTTTTGGGGGCTGGTCCTACGAGGGCTCCCATCTGTCTCAGGCATCCAGGTCTATGGTCTGCATCAGGCCTGGAGGGTGGCAGGGCATCGCTTCTCTCCAGACGTTGGTGGCTCAGGGACTGTAGCGTCCCACCCTGCCCATGCCACGCTCTCCCTTTCTCTACATTTTCCTTCCTTACATCCCCTTTGATTGCATAGAATGCATTATTTCAGACCTTCTAATGTGTGCTCATGAATGCATTCTGTGACCCTTTTCCCACATAATTCATCTTTCACTAAAAGCCAAAATCCTAAAAAAAAAAAAGCCAAAAATCCTTTGTTTAAATTTTGGATTTAAATGTCATTTTGAAGAAGGACCAGAGGACAGTGTGATTAAGTTCATACTGAACCTGGTGCCAGGGGCCCATCCCCAGTAATGGGCATTTTGACAGTGAGGAGGTCAGGCCGAACTGGGATGTGTCACAGACAAGGAGTCCCTTTGTGTGGTGTGTGGGTCACAGTGAGCCTGCCCTGCTGCTAAGGGGAGCCTCCTACATGGAGCTCAGGGCCCTCTGGACCCAGGTTTGAGAAGAAACATGTGATGAAAGAAAATATTGAACAAGTGAATTATATGTGCTCCTCTGTGTTTCATTATCCGCTTTGTCCTTTTGTTCAAATTTTTCTAACCTTACTTCTGTGAATTACCTGTCTTTAATAGTTAAAATCATATTCTACAAGTAAGCTAATTGTGAAAATAGGGCAGAAAACCAGTCATAATCCTGCTCTCTCTTTTGAAGCATTCCAAGTTTTTTCATTTGCAGACACATTTTTCCATATTTGTGATCAGTATGCCTACAGTTTTCATCTAATATTATGTTATACATAGTGTTAATATTTTTTATGTATTTTCAAATCATGATTTTTAATGGTTGAGTTGGGTGGTCTTTCCATCAGTAATTTTTTGTCTTACTTTACTTGCCTTCAATCATCTACTAACCTAATTTGCTTTCTGAAAATGTTTTAAACATACAAATATTGTGGAGAATGGTATAGAAAATACCCATGTACTCACCACCTTGAGTTAACTAATGTTCTTTCTAACTGTGATTTCTAGAGAATGGATTATGTAACACCAGGATGAAATTTCAGACTTCTAGTGTGGCTCCAGTTGCAGATACCAGCTTGTTAAATGTCATCAGCTCTTTTCCCCTCACAGGTTTTATGATGGTCGACAGCCTGTGTTGGCTATCACGGATCCAGACATGATCAAAGCCATACTAGTGAAGGAATGTTATTCTGTCTTTACAAACCGGCGGGTAGGCACCCACTTTTTAATTTACAATTTTCTTTCTTTCTTTATTTATTAAGTTGCCTCCAAAATGTCCAGTCCCATGTCATATACCCTTCATCCAGTGCCCCCGGATGGTAATGTCTGTATAGCTGTAGTACAATATCAAAGCAGGAAGTCTGACATCAGTGTTACCCACAGAGCGAATCAGATTTTCACAGTGTTATGTGCACTCATCTGAGTGTGTGTCTCTGTGTGTGCATTGCTCTATGAAACATTTTTCTTCATAAGTTTGGCTAGGGGATTATCTATTTTGTTTATTTTCTTGAAGAACCAGCTCCTAGTTTCATTGATTCTTTCTATCGTTTTATTCTTCTCAATTTTGTTTATTTCTGCTCTGACCTTTATTATGTTCATCCTTCTACTGACTTTGGGCCTCCTTTGTTCTTCTTTTCCTAGTTTCATTGTGAGTTTAGACTGTTCATTTAGAATTTTTCTTCCTTCTTGACATAAGCATGTACTGCAATATACTTTCTTCTAAGAACTGTCTTCGCTGCATCCCAGAGGTTTTGGGCTGTGAGTTGTTATTTTCACTTGTCTCAATGTATTGCTTGATCTGTTTTAATTTGGTTATTGATCCACTGATTATTTAGGAGCATGTTCTTAAGCCTCCAAGTGTTTGTAGGCTTTTTTGTTTTCTTTGCATAATTTATTTCTAGTTTCATACCTTTGTGGTCTGAGAAGCTGGTTGGCACAATTTTAATCTTTGTTAATTTAATAAGGCTCTTTTTGTGGCCTAGTATGTGATCTAGTCTGGAAAATGTTCCATGTACACTTGAGAATGTGTATACTGCTGCTTTTGGGTGGAGTGTTCTGTAGATGTCTATTAAGTCCATCTGTTCTAATGCGTTATTCAGTGCCTCTATCTCCTTATTTATTTTCTATCTGGTTGGTCTGTCCTTTGGAGTGAGTGGTGTGTTAAAGTCTCCTAAAGTAAATGCATTGTATTCCATTTTCCCCCTTTAATTCTGTTAGTATTTGTTTCACGTATTTAGGTGATCCTATATTGGAGGCATAGATATTTATAATGGTTATATCCTCTTGTTGGACTGATTCTTTTACCATTATGTAATATCTTTCTTTGTGTCTTCTTACATTCTTCGTTTTGAAATCTACTTTTCTGAGATAAGTGCTGCTACTCCTGTTTTTTCTCCCTATTATTTGCATGAAATATCTTTTTCCATACCTTTACTTTTAGTTTGTGTATGTATTTGGGTTGAAGTGAGTCTCTTGTAAGCAGTATATGGATGGGTCTTATTTTTTTTATCCATTCTGTAAATCTATGTCTTTTGATTGTTGCATTCAGCCCATTTACATATAGGATGATTATTGATAGATAAACATATACTTATTGCCATTGTAGGCTTTAGATTGTGGTTACCAAAGGTTCAAGGGCAGCTTCCTTATTATCTAACAGTCTATCTTAACTTTATTATTACTCTATTTCAAACACAGTCTAAAGGTTCTTTTTTTCCTCCTCCACTCTTTATATATTAGGTGTCATATTCTGTACTTCTTGTGTATCCCTTGACTAACTTTGTGAGCAGTTGATTTAATTTTGCATTTGCTTAGTAATTAATCGGTCTGCTTCCTTTACTGCATTTTTATTTTTTAAGGTGTCAGCTATTTAGTCTTAGGAGCACTTCTATCTAGAGCACTCCCTTAAAAATACACTGTAGAGATGGTTTGTGGGTGATAAATTCCCTCAACTTTTGCTTATCTGGAAATTGTTTAATCCCGGCTTCAAATTCAAATGGTAATCTTGCTGGGTAGAGTACTCTTGGTTGGAGGATCTTCTCTTTTGTTGCATTAAATATATCATGCTGTTCCCTTCTGGCCTGTAAGGTTTCTGCTGAGAAGTCTGCTGATAGCCTGATAGGGTTACCTTTATAAGTGATCTTTTTTCTCTCTCTGGGTGCTTTCAATATTCTCTCCTTGTCCTTGATCTTTGCCATTTTAGTTATTATACACTTGGTGTTGTCTTCCTAGGGTTCCTTGTGTTGGGAGATCACTGCACTCCATGACCTGAGAGACTATTTCCGTCCCCAGATTTTGGATGTTTTTAGCAATTATTTCCTCAAAGAGACTTTCTATCCCTTTTTCTCTCCTCTTCTGGTACCCCTCTAATGTCAATATTGTTCCATTTAAATTGGTCGCACAGTTCTCTTATTATTCTTTCATTCCTAAGGATCCTTATTTCTCTCTGTGCCTCTGCTTGTTTGTTTTCCTGTTCTCTAATTTCTATTTCATTTACCATCTCCTCTACCTCATCTAATCTTTTAAATCCCTTCATTGTCTGTTTCATTTCAGATACTGTATTTTTCAAAGTTTCTATCTCTTTTTTGAAGTCCTCCTTGAGATCTTGAATATTTTTCTGTAGCTCCATGATCATGTTTATAATTTTTAGTTTGAAATCTTTATCAAGAAGACTGGTGATTTCAGTTTCACTTAGTCCTCTTTCTGGCATCCTTTCCTGAATTTTTGTTTGGACAAATTTTTTTTGCAATTCCATTTTTTAGTGATTCTTACGGAATAATAACTTTGTGTACATGGCACCCTCTAGTGTCCAGAAGCTCTACTCTCTGGAGCTGCCGAGCACCTGGAGCATTGGCAGGGTCGCAGGCAGCAGCACCAGTGCCTGCCATGAGTAAAGAGCTCTTTCCTGCTTCCTGGCTGTAATGCCTGCCTCCACTGCCCGGTCCAGTAGTCTGTGCATACAGGGAGGAGCCTCTGTGTTATGTCCCTATAGCTACCGTGGGTAGAGCTCCTTCCTCCTGTTGGCCTGGCATGATGGTGGGGCAGCAAGTGTATGGACTGGTGCCTGCCGGAAGGAGCTTCAGGCTGCATACAGCAGTGGGGCACCTTGGAATCACGTTGCCAGCCATGGGATGGTGCATCTGAAGCTCCTGAGTGTTCCCAACCTACCGGGATGACTATATCCAGACAATTCTGTCCACATGTCTTTTCTCCTGAGCAACAAGCTCTGTGTGCTCTTTGCCCCTTTAGCGCCTCTCTTGCGGTTGGGAAATCTTTCAAAGTGCCCGCCTTTCTTTTGTCCCAGAGGGGCCAGTTGTGCATATCTGTTCTTCACAAGCAACTGTACTCTCAGTCTCTCTAGGTTTTCTGCCTGTCTTTGCTTTCCAATTCCTCAGATCTCCAGAGCACCATGTAATGCGGGTTTGTGCTCCTGAAGCACATCTCCAGGGCTGGGTGTTTAGCAGTCCTGGGCTTCTACTCCCTCCCTGATCCTTTTCTCTTCCTCCTGCCTGTGGGCTGAGGTGGGGGAAGGGCTTGGGTCCTGCTGGATTGTGGCTTTGTGCCTTTACCCTTTTCTGTGAGGTCTTCTCTTTTCCCCAGCTGTAAGTAATCTGTTTTGTAGGCTTCAGGGCACTCTTTCAGAATTAGTTGTATTTGCTGTATTTTCATGTTATATGTGATTTTGGGAGGAGGTTTCTGTCTCACTTCACATGAGGCCCTCTTTTTCTGAACCAAAAGTAGCTCTATTAAACTTTACATTTATGTCAATTAGTGTAACTCCCACCACAATCAAATGATGGAACTCTTCCACCACTAACAGGCTCCCTCCTACTATTCTTTTATAGTCATTGTGTTCACCTATCTTTTCCTCTTATCAGGATCTTCAGAGAACAAACTTCTTTATTTTGATAAGGCTCATCTATTGATTTTTCCTTTTGTGGGTTCTGAATTTCGTATCAAGTCTAAAACCTCTTCACCTACCCCTAGATCCAAAGATTTTCTCCAATTATTTTTTCTAAAAGTTATATAGTTTTGTGTTTTATATTTAAGTCTACAATACATTTTGTGTTAATTTTTTTATAAAGGGTGAGCTTAGGTCAAGGTTCATTTTTTCCTTGTGATGTCAAATTGCTCCCCACACATTGTGAAAAGGCTATTCTTCCTCCATTGCTTTTGCACCATTGTCAAAAATGAGTCAGGCCTATTTGTGTGGGTCCATTTCTTATTCTCTGTTCTATTCATTGATCGATGTAATTCTCCAACCTCCAATACCCCCAACCTTGATTACTGTCAGTTTATGGTGAGTCTTAAACTCATGTAGAGTGATACCTTCCACTTTCTTTCATGATTGTTTTAGCTATTCTAGGTCCTTTCCCTTTCCTTACAAATTTAGAATAAGCTTACGTATGTTTACAAAATAGTTGTTGAGCTTTTGATAGGAATTCATTTAAACCTATAAAGCAATTTAGGGAAACCCTTTATCTTTCCCAGGTCAAGTCTTTCATTCCATGAACATTGTGTAACTTTCTACGTATTAACTGTTTCTTGGAATCCTTTCACCCATATTTGGTAGTTTTTGATATAGATGTCCCATACATATTTCATTAACTTTATACCTGAAGTATTTCATTTTCCTTGGGGTGATTGTAAATGACATTGTTTCTAATGTGTTATTATATGAAATGCAGTTGATTTTTGTGTGTTGGCCTTGTTTGCTACAACCATGCTGAGCTCATTTATTAGTTCTAGAGGTTTTCTTCTTCTATTTGAGTTTTTCAACACTGACAGTCATGTCACCTGAAAATGGAGGCACTTGTTTTTTATCTCTCCAGCTGTGTGCCTTTTATTTCTTTTTCTCATATACTACACTTTAGATCTACTATCAGCAAGTGTCTAGTACACAACACAGTTTGACTAAGGTCACCATGTATACATTAGCTCTCTAGAACTTATTCATTGTATATTTGCAAGTTTGTAGCCTTTGATCACTATCACCCCTACCCACTCTGCCTAGAACATATCTACTATTCTACTCTCTGTTCCTATAACCTTAACTTCATTTTTTCAATTCTACATATAAGTGAGACAAAGTGTTATTTACTCTTCTGTGTCTGGCTTAATTCACTTAGCATGTTGTTCTCCAGGTTCTTCCATGTTGTGGGAAATGGCAGGATTCCCTTCTTTCTTAAGTATGAACAATAATCCATTTAACATATATGTGTGTGTGTGTGTATATTTCCTCTGTCCATTATTCTGTCCAACTACACATAAAGTAATTATTCATAGTAAGGATTTACCATTGACACTTTGTTAATCCAAGTATTTCATAGACCCTTTGTTCCTTCTTCCTCTCTTCCTTGTGACATCATGGTTTTTTATAGTGGTATACTCTGAGTCCTTACTGTTTCTTTTTTCTGTATCTAAGATACATTTTTGCTTTGTGGTTACCATGAGGCTTACATAAAACATGTATAGATGGAGCAGTCTATTTTAAGCTACCTATTTTATGCTGTTCTCATCTAAAAGCTCAATGCTTTTACTGCTGAACACCCATTTTATATATTTGATGTCACAATTTGCATGTTTTTATTGTGCATCCACTAACAGATTATTTTAGCTGTAGCTGTTTTTAATTCTTATCTCTTAAACTTTACATTAGAGCTATATGTGATTTACACAACCATTACAATACTATTGTATTCTGATTTGACTACATATTTACATTTACCAGTAAGTTTTATCCTTTCAAATGATTTCATGTTATTAGTTAGTGTCCCTTATTTTCAGTGTGAAGACCTCCCTTTAGCAGTTATGGTAAGACAGTTCTGGTTGTGATGAACCCTTTCTACTTTTGTTTCTCTGGAAATGTTATTATCTCTGTCTTTCACTTATAAAAACTCACTTCTCCATGTCAAGTATACTTAATTAGCAGTTTTTCCCTTGAGCATTGTGAATCCCACTATCTCCTGGATTTCAAGGTTCCTGTTGAAAAATCCACTTATGGCCTTATGAGCATTCTGTCTTCTTTTCTCATGCTGCTTTCAAGACACTCTATTCTTCTATGATTTTTGACATTTTTATTATGATGCATTTTCATGAATTCTTGGATTCAACCTCATTGGGGATCACTGAGCTGCAGGTATTATGAAATCCATATATTCACCAAGGGTTGAGAAGTTTTCATCCATTATTTCTCTAAATAAGCATTCTGCCCCTTTCTTTTTCTAGGACTCTAATAACATGAATATTGTTTCACTTGGTGGTATCCCATAAGTCATGTAGGCTTTCTTCATTTCTTTTCATGTTTTTTTCTACTATTTCCTGGACAATCACAAATGCCCTGTCTTTGAGTTCACTGATTCTTCTGCTTGATTGAGTCTTCTTTTGTAATTATGTTGCATTCTTTAGCTTCAAACTTTCTTTTTTTTCTGTTTTATGTCTCTTTGTTGAACTCACTGTTTTTTAAATTCTCTTCTAATTTTGTTAAATCATTTTTTCTGTTTCTCTTGTAGCTTTTATGACTTCCTGAGAACAATTATTTTGAGTTCTTTGTGAATCAATTTGTTGATTTCCATTTCTTCAGGGTCAGTTATTGTAAGTTCATTGTGTTCCTTTGGTAGTGTCATGTTTCCCTGATTCTTCATGATCCCTGTAGTGTTGCAATGGTGTCTGTGCTTTTGAAGAAGCAGTTAGCTCTTCCAGACTTCATGAACTAATTTCAGGAAGGAAAAACCTTCTCTTGCAGGCTGGGGCGTGTGGGAGTGCGCTGTGGCCCTCAGTCTAGCGGGGCGGGATGGCAAGTGTCAGTGTGTGTGTGGTGCTCCCATTCTGGGAGAGCATGGTTGGTTTAGGCAGCTGAGGTTCAGAATATGAGCAATTCATGATCCTTTGCAGCAACGGGTGTGGAGGGACCACAGTGGCTGCCAGGGCTGTGAGGGTCCTCAGCAGCACTTCCAGGCTCAGTGCTAAGGGACTGGGGCATGCAGAGGTGGTAGCCAGGTGGGTGCTGAGCACATATGAGTCTCATCTATGGGCCCTGACTGCAGGCATATGTCCAATATGAAACTCTTGGGATAAGGCAGCAAAATCAGTACGGGGTCTGCAGTGGCTGTGCTAGCTGTTGTTTTCCTCATCAGCAAAGGCTTCTGAGATCTTTTGCAGAGGACAATATACAGAACCACAGTCCCTCCAGCTGCATGGCTGATGCTGGTAGTCCTGTCCCTCCTTTCTTCCTAGCTGTCTCTAGATGGCTCAGCTATGTCACCCTTTGGGTGCGGTGGAACCGAAGTGGGTCATTTGTGTAGTGCCCTGAAAGGCTGGAGAACCTGGGGACTCACCTGCTGTCCTCTCCCATCAAGGGGACCACTGTCAGGCTGGGGAGCTCCCTCTTGGCACTGAGCAGAGCATAAGGTGGTGCAGGCAAAACAAAAACCTTTGTGCAGTTATTCTCAGTTTTACACTCTAATATTTACTGAATTTTCTAAATGGGTAGCTGAACTCTCTTGGGCCAATTTTTTGTTGTTGATAGCTCACTGCTGTTGTATTTTTGGGCCTGGAGGCTCTTCTGCCATCTTGGTGATGTCACTCACTCTTCCATCATTAAGTATGATGTTGGCTCTATAAGGTACACTTGATATCAAGTTGAAGAAGTTTCTCTCTCCCCTAGTTTGTGAGTGTTTATCATAAAAGGGTGGTGGAGATACCTATTTTAAAACAAAATATAATTTTGGAAGATAGAGGAAAGTTTCAAGCATGTTGGTTGGATAGGCCAGTTGCAAGGTGAGAAACAGAATTGCATCTCTCTTTTCCCTTCTCCCCTTGGGTGAAAAATGCAGAGGAAGAAGATTCCAGGTAATTGCAACACTTCTTCAAAATATCAAATAGATTTCTAGTTTTTAAGTATTAATATATTTTTTAATCACTCTATCAAGACATCCATTTTTTGAGTTGTTCACGATGTAGATACATGTAAACATAGAATGGGTCTGGGGCAGATAGTTCACCAGGCTACCTGGCTGTCTGTCTCAAATCCAATTCTACTCTGCAGAGCCCAGGAGAATATACTGGTTCTTTATACTCTATTCCCATGGAAGAATAGTTTTCCTTCCACATGGGTCAGTGCACATAAAAGATGATTGCAACATAAATCTGGAAACTGCATCAGATGCCTGAATGTCTCCTGAACCCACAAAGGAGCTAGGCCTTATGGGATAAATATTTATTGACCATCTAGCATAAGGCCTGCTACTAAGTAGACCCTTACTAAATATTTGTTGGATATTTGGTGCCCATTTAGCAAATATCACACAACACTAGAGACCTCCCCAACTGTTGGTCTAAATTTCCTTTGCTTTTGACTCTAGAAACTTGCTCCAGTGGGATTTATGAAAACTGCAGTCTCCATGTCTGAGGATGAAGAATGGAAGAGAATACGAGCATTGCTGTCCCCAACTTTCACCAGTGGAAAACTCAAGGATGTAAGAAGATAAGAGGACTTCTAATTAGTAATGTACAGTAACTTTTGCATCTGAAGACAGGTGCAAAATATGACCGTCCATTTCAAAAGGGCAGTCGGCTTAATCTGAGCTTCCTAAAGATAAAAAAATTATTTTGTCTTTATGTGTTAGAAGAGACATGGTAATGTTTGTTATAAATTGCAACTTCCTGCTCCATGCTTGTGAATGCCATGTCCTTCTAGCACGTACGTTGGCATTTATTTTGAGTGCGTCTTATTTTCCATCTAGATGTTCCCCATCATTGGCCAGTATGGAGATGTGCTGGTGAGGAACCTGAGGAGGGAGGCAGAGACGAGCAAGCCCATCACCATGAAAGAGTAAGGGGGAAGGCAGCTGCTGGGATTCTGAGCTCTGCCCTGAGGCCTTCCCGCTGCTGCCACGGAGCTGACACTCCCGCAGAGGAGTTACCCCAGTGCCAGAGCAGAAGTGGGTGTGTGGGGGTAGAACTCCAGTGGGTCACCAGGGAGTGACCGACAGATGGGGCAGCCAGCAGAGAAAGGGTCTGCTCCTGTGCACACGGGTACTCACTTTATATGCTACTGTTGGCCTTGGATATTCTGGAAGACAAAAATACATAGCTTAGCATGAAGAGACATGATCAGACCAAAGTTGTGAGTAGAGTCTGTGGAATGGTGGGAGGGGAAGGCACCTGGTGCTTACTGGTGGGCACTGGAGGGGCAGGAAAGTTACAGTGGGGAACTTGGAACAACCTAAATCCCTTCACCATTTGCTGAGAATATCAGCAAAATACTATATATTGACCCTTACCCCTACATCTCTTTCCTTCAGTCTCTAAACAGAGCAGGCCTTCTACAGGCTATGGGTAAGGTAACCATAAGGTTATAGTCTAAGCTCAGATATTTAATTACTCAGAAAAACAGGTGTACCCTGGGCTGTCCTGGGACAAGCGATTGCTGTTATGGGATCCCAAAATCAGAATCCAAGTGATTTAACAATATTATTTTAAACAAAAGCTTTCTCAGTTCTACATTTACAGATGCGAGTCTGCCCTCAGGGCACCCTCAGATCACGGTAGCTGAGGAAGAGTGGGTCTCCCAGGAGACTTAACATGGGTGCAGACAGGGAGGGAGGACGTTGGCCGGCAAGTGAGAACAGGGTGTTGCTGTTCTGTGTGTGCTGAAGAGGAATCAGCTGAGCGTAGCTGCTGCGGTGAGGCAAGACCCAGCTCAATGTCACCTTCCTTGACACCCAGGAAGAGTTCATTACTCCACCCTTTGTCCTCATCAAGCACAGGCTCACACACCTCCCGTGGCCCACACTCAAAACACACAACTGCATTTTGTGTGATTGTGGTTCTCTGTCCCTCTGTGGCCAAGCACCTTGAGCTCAGAGGTGGGTCTCTGACCTCAGTGCCCCAGTACCCACAGCACAGGGCCAACATGTATCACTGGCACCTCATGAGCACCCCAGGAGTGAGTGTGATGGCAGCATAGACACCTCAGCTAGCCCAACAGGTGGCTCTGAGAGTGTGTGTCTCCCTGTCGTCCCTGGTTATGAAGTTACGTGGTCTTCCTGGTGCCTGTGCTGGGTATGCAGAATAAAGTGGTGCTGGCTTTAATTTCCATGTGTTTCTCTCTCCTCAGCATCTTTGGGGCCTACAGCATGGATGTGATTACTAGCACATCATTTGGAGTGAACATTGATTCCCTTAACAACCCACAAGATCCCTTTGTGGAAAATGCCAAGAAGCTCTTGAGATTTAATTTCCTCGATCCACTCTTTCTCAGCATAAGTATGTGAATACTATGTTTCTGTTCCTTCCATCCTCCTTCCCTTCGTTTCTCACTTTGTCTTCCCTGTCTCTCTTTTTTTCCTTCTTTCTTTTTTTCTAAACAGCTTTACTGGGATATAATTCACATACTACATAAGTCCATTTATAAACAATTAAAAGGTTTTGCAACCTAAGTGTCCTTCAACAGGTGAACGGATAAAGACAGTACGTATGTATGTGTGTGTGTGTTAATATTTTTGTTAACTCAGCTTTCAGAGTATAAGTTCTGCACTTCTTTTGCTAAAATTATTCCTAGGTATTCAATTCTTTTTATCTTATTTAAGTTGAGTTATTTTCTTAATTTCACTTTTGGACCATTTATTGCAGTATGCATAAATACAATTTATTTTGTATTTGGATCTGGTGTCCTGAGACACTGTTGAACTTCTTTATTAGTTCTAATAGATTTTAGTTGGTACTTTAGGATTGTCTATATATGAGATCACAGTATCTGATAATATAGTTTCACTTCTTCATTTCCAATATGAATGCTTTTTTCTCCCCAAATTCCTCTGGCTAGAGCCTCTAGTACAATATTGACTGGAAGTGGTAAGAGAGATATTCTAGTCTTGTTTCAAAATTTAATGGAAAGCATGCAGTCTTTCACGATAAAGTATGGTGGGTGTTTCATAGGAATCCTTCGTAAGATTGAGGAAATTCACTTCTATTCCTAGTTTGATGTTAATTTTTATCACATAAGGATCTTCAATTTTGTCAAAGGCTTCTTCTGCATCTGTTGAGATGGTCGTGAGATTTCTGTTTTTATTCTATTGATATGGTGTATTACATAACTTTGAATTCCTGGGGTAAACTCCCCTTGGTTATGGTATATAATTCCTTTTATATGTTGCTAGATTCAGTTTGCTACTTTTTGTGATGATTTGTGCATCCATGTTTGTGAGATGTTGGTCTGTAGCTTCCTTTTCTTGTAAAAGCTTTGTCTGGTTTTAGTGTTAGGGTCATACTGGCCTCAAAGATTGAGTTTGGAAGTGTTCCCTTTGGGAGCATTTGTGAAAAGTTTGCTGTTATTAAATATTTGATAGAATTCACCATTGAAACCATCTGGAGCTGACCTTTTGTGTGGGTAGTTTCTTGATTACTAACCAATATTTAAATTTCTATTCAGATGGTCTATTTCTTTTTGCGTCCAATTCTATACTTTCTATCTTTCTAAGGAATTTTTCATTTCTCTAAGCTATCTAATTTATGGGGGTACAACTGATCATAGTATTCCTTTATACTCCTTTTTATTTTTTTTGGTAATAATCTCCCTTTCCATTTCTAATGTTACTAATGAGAATCTTCTGTCGTTTTATCATGGGTGATGTAGCTGAAGGTCTTCTAAAAGAATCAGCTCTTGGTTTCATTGCTCTTTTCTATTACCTTCTATTCTCCATCTTATTAGTCTCTGCTCTAATCTTTAAGTTTCCTTCTGCTGTGGGTGGGCTTGCCCCTGCTCCGCCATGGGCTTGAAGTCTGAGCAAAAGTCATGGAGGGAATGGATCCCGGTTGAAAAGTCTTGTAATGTAATCTTCCATGGGTGTAGAAAATTGTAATTGTTTCAGGTTAATTTTACATTTCCACTGTGCTTTCCTTTTTCCCTACAGTTCTATTTCCATTCCTTATCCCTATATTTGAAGTAATCGGTATCAGTCTGTTTCCAAAAAATATTACTGATTTTTTCACAAAATCTGTAAAAAGGATTAAAGAAAGTCGCCTCAAAGATACACAAAAGGTAAAATCTGGTGGCAGTTACATGGGGGTGCTCACTTTTTGATGATGTGTTCAACTGTATACTTTTGGTTTGTGTACATCTCACATAGTCTTAAGGTTGCTAGAGAACTCCAGGGTTTAGGATAGGAGAGTTATACCAATTTGGTGGGAATGAAGAAGATAGATTTGGGGAAGGACATGAGAAAATGAGTCAGAGACACAGTTTAAATTTAATATACACTTGACAGCATATCACTGAATGAATATCGTAGAGATGAAAACTTCAGCACTTTCCTTCAAGAAATTGTCAAAGGATAAAAATTAACATTTCAAGATCATTTTGCTATTCTCATAATTCCCCCAAATCTTAGATTGGCAAAGAATCACTTCAATCACTTCCAATCCTGTTATTTTACACATTTTCTAATGGAAGCCATATCAGGCTACCTAGTGGAGCACAACATGTTAAATTGACCCTGTCATGATGTGGACATGGCCAGGAATCTTCGCTGGACATTGAGGCTGCAGGCCGGCTAACACAGCTTTCCTTCATGAGGCCTGGACACCAGCAGAATGATGTCTGCAGGCCAGGAGACAGGGCCGGGTTCCCAGGATGGCACTGTAGGTTGTGTAGACTTCAGGGAGGGTGGGGCACTTCACGACGCTCACACGAAAGCTATGGGTGAACACTGCAAAGCCACACGTTAATCTGTGTGGCTCTTCATTAAGCAGTAAGGCTGGAGAAAATTAAAAGGATTAAAATCAGGACTTCATCCTGAGCATCAGACAGGATGGGAAAGGTGCGGGCACCTCGATGGGCAGGAAGCGGTGTTCAAAAGCCAGAGAGACCAAGAATCAGAGGAGGCAATAACGGAAAAGCAGCTGGACAGGATGGCTGGATTCCTCTCAGGGAAACATCCTGCTCTCCCAGATGTGTAGCTGAATATTTTTGTTCACTGATGACCCCACTCAGAATCTGGACTTGAAGGGGCCATGTTTTCAGGGAAGAGTTTAAGTACTGGCTGATTTCTGACTTCACAAGTGACTTTCTGTTATTGAGATTTCTCTTTCTACTGCTAGAACCAAGTGGATCTTCTTCAACTGATGATTAACTCCCAGAATTCCAAAGAAATGGACGGCCATAAAGGTAACCAAGAAGGGCTTCAGAGGGCCTGCTATAGGGGGGGCTCAAAGGCAGGGGTGGTTCTGAAGACAAGCAGGAAGTTTTCTGGGCAGATGAGAATTTCTGCCACGTTGCAGAAAGGCACTTGTTAAATTTAACATGTAGGAAGAAGCACGTTCTAGAAGCATGCAGGCAAAACTTTGTAGAAGGCTTAGAGGCAATCATAAACTATTTTGTACTGAGATGTCCAGCTGTGATCTGTAGATCACCTACATCAGGACCTCGATGGTGCCTTTCTTCAATGTCAGTTCTCAGGCCACACCCAGATGCGCTGAATCAGAACCTCTGCCTGGAGACTTGCATCAAGGCTTCATCACATCAGGAGGCACATTGCTCCTGGTTGGTGGCTGCTAGAATTTACAGCAGGAGAGTGAACATTTTGCAAGCAGGTGGAGGTAGGGGAAGGAAATAAGAGAATGGGTCAGAGACACAATGTTTAATACTAATAATAGGCATGACTTGCAGCACTTGGTTAAAGTTGTGTTCACTAGCTTAATCTCATAAAGTTTTATTTTTCCCTTTTTAATTAAAAGTAATTGTGGGGGATTTCTGTGAACCTGTGTAAATATTGTGTTCCTTCTTAAACTTTCACTGTCTAGTTTTATCACCCATGGATTATTTCTTGACTGAAACCATCATTATTATGGTGGATGCAAATGAGCTTTCAAATTCCATCATTTCTTCTACATTCCTGAGTTGATGTTCCATAGTCAGGGAGAGCTTTCCATTCTCCCACATTTACTTAGCAATTATTTTTATCACAAAGTTCTTCTCATAAATTACTAATTCATTGTCTTACATTATTCTTTATTTTGATCCTCAAGCTCTCACAAGGGCTATCCACTGGAAACCATATGGGCTTTCATGTCATTTTTTTCTTCTTTTTAAAATTATTTTATTTACAATAAATTTTTTTATAGCAACAATAAAAACTATACTGTTATACTTTCACAGCAAAATTGAGCAGAAGGTACAGCTATTTCCAACACACTCCCTGCCCACTCTCCAAACAGTCCCCCTCACTGTCAAACCCCTCCCAGGAGTGGACATTTTTCATACTCAGTGAACCTGCATTAACAGATTATTATCACCCAAAATCCATAATTTACATTAAGGTTCACACTTGGTGTATATTCTATGGGTTTTCAGAAATGTATAGTGATGTATATCTCCCATTATAGAATATAGACTATCTTGTTTCCTTTTCACATACCATTTTCTGAGCTCTTCTTGGCTTTCTGGTGGGAGACATTCCAGATTTCTCTTCTATTTCCCCTGACAAAATCTGGAATCTACCATTTCTCCAAGAGCCCTAGGTTCCTTTTAGTGAGAAATGGTATTTAGAATCCAAAATCTGGGATGTAGGAGTGCTCACTGTTACTAGGATTTCTTGGCTTTTAGATCTTCTCAGTGCACAAAGCTGAGAACATCAAATATATTTATAGAGGACTGATAAACATACGTATTTCTTTATCTACCCATAACCATTGTTATAAACATGCTGCCTCTCAACAACAGCAAAAAAGAATCGATGCATACTTAACTTCTATGACATAAATTCTCCCTTCACGGTTAAGGTTAAGCTACCAATTGTTTGACAACTGTGTCAGAAAATTCCTGAAAATTTAACAACTCGTTGTAGAGAATAAGGATGACTTCATCATAGCACTAAAATATATCTATATCTTTGTCTACATCTACTTCTATCTGTCCATCTGTTATTCTATCAATCTATCTATCTACATAGTCCAAAAGAACTTTTTCTGATGACGTAGTCCATATCTGCTCTGTTCAATGCAATAATTGCTAGACACATGTAGCTATTGCGTACTTCACATATGTCTATTACTGCTGAAGAGATGAAACTTGTATTATATTCAACTTCTACTAGATTGAATCAAAATTTAAATAGCCACATGGGGCTAGTGGCTAACATACTGAAAGCAGAGCTCAGAGCTCTGAGCTTTGAGTATCATGAGTTTTGTAAACCCTATGGTGTGGAGAATTTTCTAGAGGAATTCATCCATAACAGCATCCTAGACGCCATCATTAGGAATTCAGAACTCTGTAGAACTTTTTACATGCATCTTGTATTCTTTTTACTTGTGAGGTACATAGTTGGTGCAGGTGCCCTGTTCATTTCAGTGCTTAATTATCTAAAGGTTTTAATATAGTCCCAATCAAATAGATTAGAACCTGACCATCCTTAGATTGTCCCAGGAAAAAATCAAAAGGGAGACCAACTTATGTTCACAAAGGCTGTTTGCTGAGCATGATGTAGAGCAGAGAGTGGGGACATGTGCTAAGGAAGGTGACATTCAGGATATGGTTGAATAAGCACGGCTGACTCTGCTCACTGGGCCCTGTTTTTCTGTATTTCATCTGGTCAATGCCCTTTTAGTGATACCTTCTTTCTTCTGCTATTCTAAGCCATTTTTTAGAGTAGGATCAATAACCACTCTTATAGCTTTGTCCATGTCTGTAATTTCTGTATATTATGGAGCTCATTCATTGAAAACCTGTGCCTCTGGTATTCTGTTACCTGATGCCTCACAAAGGTGTAATAATCCATGCTTCCTAAACTAGTGTGCACACTAATCACCCATGCCAAGAATGTTCAGATTTTGATTCAATAGTTCTATGGTGGAGTTATATTTTCTGCAAGTCTAAAAAGTTCCCACGTGCTACCGATATTGCTGGTCCATGGAACACACTTTGAGTAGCAAGAGTTATCTGTAGCCCAGTATTGTTCTCTTAAATAGAAGGAACATGTGTAGATGAAAGATCTTTAACTTCTCCTTACTATTAAGCCTTGTATTGCAAAGTCTCTCAACAAAATAAGCTATATGGTAGCTAGAACTATTTAAATTTTTCCTGGGGAAGAATTCTATCCCATATCCTCATGTACTGTTAGGATTCTCCAAGGGACATGCTGATCACACCATGTATGTTAGACAGAAATGCTAGCTCATGAAATTACCACTTTACATTACAAAGCAGAGAAGGCAAAGAACAGTATTAGCTCTGGGAAGAACTGAATCAAGACCAGTTTTGCCTTTTTTGGCTCTGAAAGACAGACATCAGACTGCAAACCAATCCCAGTTGGACTCTCAATTACTTTCCCATTTTTCCCTAAGGATTTGGGAGTTCAATTTTGGTTTCTCCTCATTTTACCTGTGATGTTGTACACTCAGTTGCTTTACCTCAATGTCTTTCTCTCCTTTTAGCTCTGTCTGATATGGAGCTTGTGGCCCAATCTATTATCTTTATTTTTGCTGGCTATGAGACCACTAGCAGTGCTCTTTCCTTCCTTATGTATTTATTGGCCACTCACCCTGATGTCCAGCAGAAACTGCAGGAAGAGATTGATGCAACTTTCCCAAATAAGGTGAGAGGGTGATACCCAGAGAGGGTGGGAGAAGGTGCAGGTTTAGCAAGAAGGTCTCACCATTTCCTAGGAGGATTTTTGCAAAACACAGGAGCATTAATTCTTACACTTTCATATTTAGGAAGGATTTATGGAGATAAAGGGAGAAATGTAGGTAAAATACATTATTCACAGAAATATAAGATCTTTGAGAAAAAAGCACTGATGCTAGTATACAGTTATCTGTTACCAAAATACTGCCAAATAAAAATCACACACAAAGTATTTGTGGCACCTAACATTAAGCATTTATTGCTCAAGTGTCTAGACAGCTTTCTCTGTTGGCATTTGCTTGACCCGCCTTCGTCTGGCTGTTGGCTGATCTAGGCTGGCCCTGGCTAGGCTGGCAGGGCTGACTCAGCCCCACACCCATGCATCCATGCATCTCTCCTATTCCAGAAAACTAGCCTGGTGTGTTATTCTCGGGGCAGTAACAGACAGCTAGAGCAAGAAGCCCAATCTGTGGGTGCCCTTCTAAACACTGCTTGCATCACACTTGGCCAACATTCCATTGCTTCAAAGCAGGCCACATGGTCAACCCCAGAGTCAGAATGGAAGGACACCACCACATTAGAGGGCAAAGGGCACAAACACAGGAGGGGTCAAGAAATGGGGCCATTCATGCAGTTTACCACACTGGGTAATTTTGCTGAACAGGAGAGGCTTGGCATGTAGGAAAGAGCATCAGGTAGGATATAGAACACATGCATTTAAGTCCTGACTCTGGTTTCCACAAGGTTATCACCTTCCTAAATCATAGGTCCTTCAAAAATAAGGTAAGGATACATTTTGGGGCCTACCTAAATGAGAACTTTCTTTCCTTTGTGGTAAAGCCCATATTGGGATCCTTTTGATTGCAATAAGATGGAAAGGTCACTATGAGACAGACCTAGCTAGAGCACTGTGCTCTCTCATTTTCATAATAATAATTGTAACCTTAACAACTCTAATACCTCACATTTGCTTCTTACTATGTATGTGCACTTTAAATGCTTTATACTTCTAAATGAATTCAATCTTGCTAAAATTCTGTATAAGGATAGGCCGGGATATGTTTCAGGAACCAGTTAACCATCAAATCTCGGTGGCTTTACAAAGAAAAGACTGAGTTGGGAGTTGATCCCAAATCTCAATTTCTCTAAATCTGTTTCTTCCTAGATGCTCCCTACATATGATGCCCTGGTGCAGATGGAGTACCTTGACATGGTGGTGAATGAATCTCTCAGATTATTCCCAGTTGCTGGTAGACTTGAGCGACTCTGTAAGAAAGATGTGGAGATCAAAGGGGTGCTCATTCCCAAGGGGACAGTGGTGATGGTGCCCATCTTTGTTCTTCATCAAGACCCACAGCTCTGGCCAGAACCTGAGGAGTTCCGCCCTGAAAGGTACAGGGTCCCTGGAGAGGGAACCTACTCTGGTCTAGGCTCGCTTGAGCATATTGTCACATCTCTTGGCAGAGATGATAAATGTGTGGTTGTGTGATCATTTATTTGTACATCTTTTTATTTTTAGGAGATTTTTTATTACAAGAATGATCATTGCTTCTTGCCAAAATTTTACACACATATGATGAGAAAAAGAAAATTATAGCTGTCTACAGTCTCAATACCTTAAGACAGGTCTCATTAATAACATGATGTTGTCCTTATGTACATTTACATATATATGTTATATATATGTAAATTTATATATTAAGATGGTATTATGTCTTATTTGACTTTTAACCTTACTTTATTAGATATTAAACTATAAAGAACATGCTATATGTGGGAGTGATTGTATGCATATTCATAGTAGACTTAAGCACTGTCTAATTTTAGGTGTATACGATTTTTAACTTTCAGTTTTTCTGTGCTTCTCTCTTGAGCTCTCTGAATTTATCACCAATGTTCACATATTCCATGTTTTGAAACATTGGCTGTCATTTGTTGTTTTTTAATTTTTTAACTGAAGCATAGTTGATATACAATATTATATTGGTTTAAAATATAAAACACAGTGATTCAACAGTTCTATATATTATTAAGTCCTCACTGCTCCTAGTGGGGTTACTATCTGTCAACATAGGAAGATGTTACAGAGCCACTGACTATATTCTCCATGCTGCACCTTCCACCCCCATGACCAACTTGTATTATGGTTGAGATTTTTGTGCCTCTTTCTCCCCCTCATCTACCACACCCACCCACAGCAACCCTTCCCAGAGGGTAACCAAAAGTCACTTCTCAGTGTCTGTAAATCTACTGCTGTTTTATTCATTTTGTTTTGTTTTTAGAGTCTACATATGAGTGAAATCATATAGTACTTGTCTTTCTCCATCTGGCTTATTTCACATAGCAAAATATCCTCTAAGTCCATCATTGTTGTCCCAAATGGCAGGATTTCTTTCTTTTTTTACAGCTGAATGACATTCCATGGTGTATATTTACCACCTCTTTATCCATTCATCAATTGTTGGACACTTTGGTTGCTTCCATATCTGGTTATTGTAAATAATGTGGTGATAAACATAGGGGTGCACATATCTTTATGACTCAGATTTTGTTTTCTTCAAGTAAATTCCTAAAAGTGGAATTACTGGGTTGTACACTATTTCTATTTTTAGTATGTGGAGGACCCTCCATACTGCCTTCCATAGTGGCTGCACCAATTGGAGGGTTCCCGTTTCTCCACATCCTCACCAACACTTATTATTTCTAGTCTTTTGGATAGTGAGCACTCTAAGTGGTGTGAGTGATTTTTCATTTCCGTTTCAATTTGCATTTCCTTGATGATTAGTGATGTGGAGCATCTTCATGTGCCTGTTGGCCATTTGTATTTTTTCTCTGTAAAATTGTCTGTTCAGGTCCC